GTTGCTGCCAAGGGTCAGGAAGGGATGAGGACAGAAGGTAGAGGATGTGAACATAAAAATTCAACATGAGGGATCCTTGTGGAGATAGAACATTCTGTATCTTTCCTGCATCAATTTCAATGTTCTGAGCAGGACATTATACTGTAGTGTTGCAATGTGTTACCATGCAGGGGAAACTGAATAACAGGCACATGGGATCACTCTGTATTATTTCTTACAAATACATGCGAATTTACAATTATCTCAAAACCTAAAGTTTAAACAACAAACAAAATTAACCAGCAATATATATATATATGCCAGTGTGCCAATGTTGAGAAACCTTCATCTAGAACAGTGATGGTGAACCTTTTGAGCTCGGCATGTCAACATTTTGAAAAACCCTAACTTAACTCTGGTGCCGTGTCACATATAGAAATTTTTTTGATATTTGCAACCATAGTAAAACAAAGACTTACATTTTTGATATTTATTTTATATATTTAAAAGCCATTTAACAAAGAAAAATCAACCAAAAAAATGAGTTCGCGTGTCACCTCTGACACGCGTGTCATAGGTTCGCCATCACTGATCTAGAAGGAAAGCCAGACATACCAAATAAGGAAGCTAAGGAAGAGCTGTGAACCTGTGGTTGGTGGGTGGGGTGGGTAGGAATCAAGGCTGGTTTCACAGAATACATGTCATTTGGTTTGAGCCTCAAAGAATATCAGGTTTCTAGGAGCAGAAGAAAGGAGAACATTTTTTGTTGTGAAGAATAGTCAAAAGTTGTGTCATGGTGTCTCAAAGTATCTAGCGAGCAATGATGAGGTGGTCTGGGGCCTAGATCAAGGAGTTACTGCAGTTCTTGAGTTACAGTAAGTGCTGAGTTTCAGCTCTGAGTTATACACGTAATGGATGCCTCCAGCAGGGAAGCACAGTTACTCCTATACTCCTGAGACAGAGCTTCAAGGACGGAGAGTATGCAAGGGAGTAGGCCAAATAAACCCAGCGGTGAGCAGTGGGCTCCTTGACACTTAGAATCCCTTGTAATTTTAAGTGTTGCTCATGCTTTCCTAGGCAGTGAGTGGCATGATGTGGCCTTCGTTTCAGTAGTCTATTTGGAGGTTGGCTGTCCAGCACCTGCATTAGAAAAGAGAGAGTTGGAGCCAAAGAAGACAGGAAATGAAAGAGGCCCTGTACTGGGGAAATGGAACACACAAGGTTAGATGGATAATGGAGACATTTCAGAGAACTTGGAGACACCCAGTTTGGCAAGAGAGGTCTGAGCTGATTCTGAAGTTTCTAGTCCAAGATAGAGGTGCCATTTCTCAAGATGTCCCTTCCTGAAGTAGAAATGCCGGGAGATAAACAGACCTAAGAGGGAGGGCGGTGATGTGATTGGTTTGGGCGGTGTGAGGTGCACATTGCTGCTGGCGATTTCCAGGAACTAGTTAGAAACTTGGTTCTACAGCCCAGGAGAGAGAATCAGACTGAAGATAGGTCTTGAGAGGTTGGATGAGGTTACTTGAGTGACAGAAACTCCCAGAACTGAACTTGGGAGAATATCAACACTCAGGTTAGAGAAGATAGAAATGAAGAGAACGGAGATGAAGGAGAAAATCTAGAAGAAAAAGCTCTGAAGTCCAGGGTGGGGGATCACAGGGGAAATTATACACAGCAGAATCTGGAGCCGCACAGAAATTCTGCAGTATCAGACAGGGGTGAAGAGCGTTGAATCGACACTTGGGTGAACCAACTTGCGCAGAGGGGCCTGGATGGCGCACTGAGGGATGTGAAGGGCTGCGTGCACAAGAAGAATCCAGCGGGAGGGAGTGTGCTGCAGGGGCTGTCAGCCTTTCTTTTTCAATATAATTGGTAATATTACGATTCAAGTTATTTTCCTCCCATGAACTTTCTTGGATGTGGTGAATTGTTCTCTAGCATCACTTTCATAATTATATATGTTTGTAAAGAAACCATAACTAACGGAGCAACAGCGGTGAAAAGGCCTTTTACCAGAGAGTTGGTCATTTTTAATATCTCCTTTTAATTCAAATCATTTTATGTATTTTTTTTAGATACAGTTTCTGTTATTGGAAACTGCATGTTGATGAGTAAGTGGACATTTACATTTTCACTTTGAACCTTTTTTAAGTTTCTGAGCTAGGTTAGGGAATGCGTGCATGTCTATATGTGTGAATTTCATGAAAATTATATTTTGTGCCTTCCAGTAGTTGATTAAGCTTCTTACTCTGTTCTGATTTTGCTTGAATCTCACAGTAAAAGACTTTTGTTTCACAACCTCTGGGAATACCATGCAGTGCAGAATATGAGATTTTTAGAGGTCCACACTAACTTGGTAGAAATTCAAATCCATCTTTTATCTCTTAGATAAAAGCCTTTGAAATCCTTTTAGTGTGAAGTTATCAGCAGGCTTGATTCTCATATAACCTCATTACTAACCCAAGGATTATTCAAAATGCACGGAAAGCAATGCTCTGTGGCTGAAACTTGGTTTTCATCAACTCTACAGTCTAGAGATAAGCCACATGTGGTCCTCCTGGTTCTGGTTGGGAAGTTCTGCCTGTCCTGCCCCCATCCCCCTAGAAGATCAAGTACAAATTCAAGGGTCTCATAAGTTGTGCATGAAAGAAACCTGTTCGGCTCTATTTGAGCATTTCCCAAATTTATTTAACCACGGAACCTTTTCCACATTAACATTTTATAGCTCACCTAGGGGTTTTGTGAGATAAGAAGTGGAATGGATATTTTTAAGGGATTGATGCCTCAGATCCGAAGTCTGTACTGCTGGAAGTAACAGGGTGTCCTCAACATATCTTTGTGTCATGGATCGGACTTGGTGAAGTGTAAGAAAAATTTCTTATCCACCTTCCTCACTGCTCATCCCAGAATGTCAGGAATTGGCTTATTAGGTACTGGGCATCTGCATATTTTCCTGGAAAAAAAGAAGAAGGAGGAGGAGGAGGAGGAGGGGAAAGCTTCATCAGTTGTTTCTAATTTCATTCAGTGGAATAAGATTCCAAGTAAGAAATTAAAATAGAATTTGTTGTGGATGTAATCGTATGAACAAAAGGTAGTTATATCAGGTTCATCAGTTATTCTCATGTTTAGTTAAAACAAGATAATTCACTGTTTGGGGGACAAATGTATTTCCAGAACGGAGACCGTTTGATGAGTTACTTATTCCATAAGGGGATGATCTTATCTGCTCACATTTACATTTGGAGCAATAAACCCCCGGCAGCTGCTGCTGGCTGTCTGCGTGAAGAGGAGGCTTTCTTGAACATTCCTTTTTTATGGCTTTCTTGAACATCTGAAGTTGGGGTGAGGGTGGGAAAGGTTTACCTATGGAGGCCATAAATGACCAAGTCTGATACCAGGGAGGTAAACCAGTCCTTTCTGGAAGAGCTGGTAAATCTCTCAGGTCACAGGCCTCCATATGTTAAAACCTGTCAGAGGCTTAAAAAAAAAATCAGGGACAGCTGCCACCTCCTCTTCATCAGGAAAACAGTCACTTCAATTTAAAAATATGGGCTTTCACTTTTTCTTATGAGCTCATAAGGTGACCTTACTCACCCCACCCTCTAGGAGCCTGAGCAAGGTAGGGTCTGCCTGGTGACCTGATTCCAGCTGACAACATCCTGGTCAGGGTGCAGTGTGGGGACAGCACTTGAGGGAGGGCCTGGACACAGTCTCAGCCCATGGACACTGAGACGGACCAAGAGTGTAGCCATTGCAGAAATCGCTGCCCTTAGCAAGATTCATCGGAGGCCACTCACATTCCTTGCAGGTGCAGGCATCAAGGACGATTATTCAACCCCTGAATTCATGACTCCCAGGCTGTGACAGTGTGGTCTGTGTGAGCTCATTCTCAGAGTCTAAAATTATTCAGCTTTCTTCTGTGGACATGAGTACTTTGGTTAAAGGCTGCCAAGTTTATGACAGAATCTGGTGGGGGGATTTTTATTGCCTAATAAATAACATCATAGAAGGTCATAATTCCATATTAGCTACTAAATATCTAAAATGGTTAAAGTATGCAAAGTTAGGTCCAAGATATGGATGAAAAACAGCTCAGTGACATTTCTTGAGAATTATTCATTTTCTTTTTCAATCTGAAAATGGAACGGGAACATTCAGCTAAATCCCAGGCTTAGAAAGCTGAGCATCGCCTGGAGGACTTAAAGAATTACACTGGCAAAGCCATTTTTCTTTGGACTTTAAATTAAAAACTAAAAAAAAAGTTCTCTGTGGAATTTCGGGAGAAATCTCAAGTTCTCGGGTGTTTAGGAACTAAACAGACCTGTAGAAACTCACACCGTGGTCTTTCTTGGACAAACAGGAGATCTACTAGGGAGAGACAATTTTGGAGCATCTTCATTGGTGGGTCAGTTGTCCTCTGCGATGAATTCTAAGACCCAGCAGTGCTTTTAGGCAAGACCTTCTTTCTTTTGGATAAAGTCATTGCTCTAGATACAGTGAATCTATTTTTCATCTTTCTGCCTTTACTAGGGAAGAGCTGTTACACACACACCCCACACACACACACACACCAGCCTCTGCTATAGTCTTTTCTCTCCTTGAATACCTTTTACCTACCTAACTTCTTATCTTCTAACCCCATGTTCTTTGAACGTTTTACCCCTTCATCTCCCTGAAAATTGCTATGACTCTCACATCCCCAATCATCCCTCTGAACTTCTCCTTCCCTAAAACTAAACCTCAATCCAGGCTACAATTTGTTGAAGGGCATGGAGTGATGCCACTAGTTTAAGTCTTGGCTCATGGGGATTGCGATGGGCAGAGACCTCCTCCGAGCAGGGCTCAGTGGATCTCCAAGGACATCTCTGGGATTGGACATGCACCCAACACAGTGCACATCCCATGTGCTATTAGATCCTTTTAGCACTTACAGGATTGACACTCTTGTTGTTTCCCTCTCGGGCAGGTTGGGCTAACATTTTCTATGTCAATTAAAACATCGTTTTTGTTGTCAACAGAGACCAGATACTGCTACACTCAGCACACGATGGAAGTCACGGGAAATAGCATCTCTGTCACCAAACGCTGCGTCCCGCTGGAAGAGTGCTTGTCCACTGGCTGCAGGGACTCCGAGCATGAAGGCCACAAGGTCTGGCAACAAAGCACGTGCCGGTACAGCACAGTCAGCCTTTCTCCTCTCCCGATGTCCGCCAGTGCTCACGAGCAAAGTCTCCCTTCCCATGGAGCCTGGCCTTTGACTGTCCTTATAGCATTAGAAGATGCTTCCTTTCCTGTTTTCTCTAAAAGAATAAAGATTTAGGCCAGGGTGTAGGATAAATGATGTAAACACAACACCAAGAGGGTGTTGAAAATTATCACAAGCCCTTTCTCCACTCAGAAGAAAGTAATAAAACTGCCAGAGGGAAAGGAGCAAGGGACCAATTACGTCCTCATGGCAAAGCACTGCAGGTGCAGCAATGACTCATCAGCTGTGGGTGGCTCAGGCAGCTGAGCTCTGATAGCTCTCTGTAAAGTGGGGCCATGCCGCTTGTAGGATGCTGATTTGGGGAAGGTATGCGTTGGCTCCTGAGTCATGTCAGTAGGGAGTGAGAGCACCTTTTCCTTGTGGGGTTGCTCCCCTGAAACTCCATCTGGTGCCTGTGCCGAAGCACGCAGTTTCAAACCAACTTTGAGGGCAGTCTTGAAAGAGAATATAAGGAATCAGAGGACAACAGGGGGATGGGAGCATGAGTGTGAAAAAAAAATAAAAAAAGAAAGGAATCAGAAGAAGGCCACCTGGCCCGCGGTTGGGATGGAGAATGCCCCTGACGCCCTGGCTGGTGGTTCAGAGCTGGCTGCCCATATGAGCTTGTATGTCAGGCCGTGGCCTTTATTTTTTTCACCTCAGGCTGCCTTCCTGGGGGTTGGGAGCAGTGCCCGCTCTGATAGCCGGCAATGGTACTGTTCGTGGGGACTTCTTTCTCTTAAGACTTGTTAAACACTAAGAATTAAATTTTAAAGTATAATCTGCTTACTAGCTCCTGGTTTGCAATGTGAAGGTAAATCCCAGGGTTTCACTTGACCCTCTAGCAGGTTGGACCTGGTTCTCAGGCATCATTGTGGGTACTTCACCGAGGAGGAAGTTATAGATCAGAGAAGTGACATCATGTGCTCAGGCCACACAGCCAGTGATCAATAGAGACAGAATCCCAACTCACTTCTGACCCGTTTTTCTCCTCGACTTTAAAATGTCTTCCCAGCCCCTATCAGGGGTGAGCAGACTGAAGTCTCTGCAGGAAGTGACAGACCATTACCCATCACAGAGTCTCCGGGCATTACTGTGGAGGCGGACCACTTGCAAATCTTGTTAAAATGCAGATTGTCGTTTGCTAAGTCCAGGGCTAGCTTGAGGTTCTGCATCTCTAATGAGCTCCCAGTTGATGCTGAAGCTTCTGGTGTGTACTTAGCATAGCTATGGCCTGTCGATAATTCTTTGGGTTTACTTCTATCTCATGAGCCACAAGGAAAGCTGTATGAAGCATTAATGGCATAAATGAAAACCCTTCAAACCTTAAGTCACCAACCAGAATGGAGAGAATGATGTAGACAATTCCAATGAAAGTACATATTTAAGTTAAAATTATCTGGGTTGTTGCCCCTTCACTTTCCCTGTGAAAACTTGGCAAGCGGAAGTTGCCCTCATCTGTTTCCACAAGTGGTCAGAGGAGCCTCTTTGGGGAAGGCAGGATAAGTACCATTTATAATCCCCACTTTAGAGAGGGAATAGCCAGGATCTAGGAAACGTGTAAACCTGGAATAACCACAGGGTGCGATGTCAAAAGTAGAACCCACGTCCCTTAAAGCATTGCTGGGGCCTTTCATTTTGACCATACTGCTTCCAGATGACATCTCATCGCAGCCCCTGCGATGCAGGCTGGTGTCCCCTTTGTAGAGCAGGTCATTCCCATCTGAGTCCCATCGTGAAGGAAACAGTCCCTTCAAGAATCCCTGCCTCCTTCCAAGACCTGCCAGCTTCTCATCACCCTTCTTTTTCTTCTTTCCAGGTCTGCACTTCCTGTTGTGAAGGAAATATCTGTAACTTGCCGCTCCCCCGAAATGAAACTGATGCCACATTTGCCACAACGTCACCCATAAACCAGACAAACGGGCAGCCACACTGTGTGTCAGTGATAGTGTCCTGCTTGTGGGTGTGGCTGGGACTCACCTTATAGCAGCTCAAAGGCGCGATGTGTGGTGGCAATCCGAGGGGATCTCGACGGCCCGCAGTCATGCATGAGTCATTGGCCTGGCAACAGTACACACGTGAAACCACAGCACTCAAGGATGTCTTCCTAGTCAAGCATCTCCACTTCCCGTGAGGAACAAGCATTGCTTCAGTCCAAGACCTTATCAAAGCCAGCCTGCCCCTAAAATAGACCGAGTTCTATACCACAGACCTTTGTTTTCACCCCAAGAAATAGTTCTGCATTTATTGAGTTCTGGCTCTTAATTTGGAAGACATGCAAGAGCCACAGGAGATCCTGGGCCCCTCTGAGATGTTAAACAACATGAGTAATTGTGCATTTTTCAGGAGAAAGTTAAAGGACTATTGGTTTAAGTATAACCATGAATTCACTTACAGCTCTAGAATTTTAAAATTTTAATTGCAAAATGAATGGACTGTTTCCACGGAGATTCCTACTGAGTCCCTAGAAAAGAAATGAACAATTTGTCCAATTTATGTTTCCAGCATTCTTCTCCCAATGGCGAGGATCATATTCCCTCTGCTCTGTGTAGGAGATTAAAAAGGCAATCATTAAAGTTTGCTCTATGGGGAGGAGGGCTAGAAAAGGATTTTTCCTAATTTAATGGAATTTGCATCCATAAAGTGGGCATTTATCCCTTCGTATCATTGGGGAGATTGGTTTGACTTAGCACCTTGTTATGCTCCACGCGATCCTGGTTCTTCCTGGAACGATGGGTGTCGCACAGCAGGATGGGGTGTTCTCTCCAGGCACGGGGTTCTATTCAGACACAGCTAATTTAGGCAGAGGACTTTAAATTGAAAGGAGGGAGAATGTCTGGAGGTTCGTCCTTGTTCATTGTGAGGATCCAGTGGCTCAGCCAGATCTTCCTCCATCAGCAAGTCATGCTTCCCAAGAGCTCTCCCCATTCTTCCTCCTTTCAAATCCCCAGCCCGGGCTGGGACAGGGAGGTATGGTGCCTCCCATGAGGGGCAGGAGCAGGTGAACCAGTGGGATGGTAGTGAGACTAGTAAGGAGACCTAGTGGGAAGTTTCTATTTCTTTTAGCTGATTGCTTTTGAGGTAGACAGTAAAAACTTCACCATCCTTCCTATATTTTTGGCACCCCAAGTTACAATTTTTTCTTCTTCCTTGTAAATCATTTATACAATATTTATTTTTGTATGGCATAACTAGAAACTAAAGTATATTGTAAAAGATTCTTTATTCTGAACAGAATGATCAAATCAGAATACCTATTTTTCAACAGTGGTAGAGCTTGTAATATATGTGTTGAACATTATCTATAGTACTTGCACCAGTGTTGAAAAAAGCTACTTATGTTGTGACCAAGAGTAACGTGTTGGCTTTGAGGTTTTGTGTTTGTTCCTGGTTTCCTCAGTGTTGTGGTCCCAGAAGTATTCGGGTGGTGGCCATACTGGTATGCATTTCTCTGCAGGGCTGTGGGGCGTATTTGCATGAAATTCGGTGGAGCCATTGCGGATAAAGTTGTCAGGGTCCATCTGCTCTGCACAGGAAAATGTCTCTGGCTCATAAAATGAGACCTCCTCAGGGACCAAGATGAACTGACAGTGGTTAACTCTGATACACAATAATCTAAATTGCATCAAATGGCCTTAAATCAGAGTTTGGCAGGTTTATCAATAAGTTGCTTATCATTGGGGTGGGGAATCAGAGGGCGAGGGAGCAAGACATTTAGTAAGCACCTCTTACGTGCCAGGCACTATGCTAAGCACTTTACATAAATTAGATCATGTGATTCCTACAAGAACCATGTAAGGAAAATTACTAGTACTTACACTTTAGAGATGAAGGTACTGTGATTCTAAGAAGCTCAATAACATGAAGCCTTTTCCTTCTCATTTAGGACAGACGGGATGAGGAGGGATTGAAGAGGGGGGGAGGGTGGAATTACCACCCTTAGGAAAACTTGCAGGCCTGACTTCATGGGAATTGGCCATCTTACCATGCATAGTTTGTCCAGTCCTGCCTCTGCAGGGGTCCATTTGCATGTGTTCCCAGATGCTTTTTCTTTGTGAGGGTGAAGGGATAGTTTCCTCATTCATTCCTCTTGCTAAAAGAGGAGACAGGTTGATCCTACATATAAAGATGCTCTGAGACAATGAAAATTGGATGTTGTACATATCTACATATACATTTTGTGCATGGTCACTCTCCACTGACACCTTCCAAGTACTGCATGAGATTTCAATAGGAGACAAAGTCCAAAAGTTGGTTCTTAATGAGAAAACGAGCACTCCAAAGCCCCCTGGCTGGTACGCAGGCCCAGGTCCACAATGACATCATCTGCCACCCACGGGGTCACTGCAAACTCCAAGCAGATGTGGCTGTGTGCGCCCTGTATGCCTGTCAGAATGGCTGGGGTTTTAGTCTCTCACAATAAAGTGATTTGCTTGCCATCCTCAGCCTCAAGGAGCCACAGAAGGGCTGTTTATGCAGAAGGCCCAGGACTGATCATCCATCTGACTTTCCTACCCCATTAAACCTTCCGTTAAATCCCAACACTGATGATGGCTTGAAGTGCAAAGAGCCATGATGTGTATATAAACATATGTGCCACTTATTTATTTTTAGACTCCCCACAGCATTCATGTCAATATGGGATAAATGCCTAAATTTTGTAAATATTGTACATTTTGTAAATCAAGGAATAAAGGTTTTAAGTGTATATCTCCAGGCTCTTCTGTGCAAATGCACACGCCAATCAATGATTCCCGCACCCAGGTTATGTACCAGGCATTGCATTTAGCGCCATAGGGAACTTTCTGCCAGAAGCTCACATTCTAGTTGAAGGACAAGAAATGCATGCATGAAAAGATACAAAACCATTTCCTTGTGCCACATGATTCTTATAGACCAGTGATGGCGAACCTATGACACACGTGTCAGAGGTGACACACAAACTCATTTTTTTGGTTGATTTTTCTTTGTTAAATGGCATTTAAATATATAAAATAAATATCAAAAATATAAATCTTTGTTTTACTATGGTTGCAAATATCAAAAAATTCCTATATGTGACACGGCACCAGAGTTAAGTTAGGGTGTTTCAAAATGCTGACACGCTGAGCTCAAAAGGTTTGCCATCACTGTTATAGACAGTAAGTGCTGCAGAAGATCCAAGAAAGAAAGATTACCAGACTTTTCAATCAGGTCTGCAGTTTTCCCAGAACATTTCTTTGTTAAATCAGGAAATATAAAAAGATTGTGTGTGTGTGTTGTGTGTGTATCACCCCACTAACAATTTCTAAATCTTGTTCTCTTCTTAGAGTGAATTATGTTGATGATTATACAATAGAAAGCATTTTCCCTTGAAGGTTTCTTCTGCAACAGGAAACAAATGTTTAAATAGCATAGATGTCATTTTCAACTATACAATGAATTTATTGTAATTTTCACAGTAAAATGGTAGACATTGAAAGGGACCTTGAAAAACTCTAGCTTGTTTGTGATTTCTGATTATTCTTTCACACCCTGTAGTTTGAGATTTCCAGGAAAATGTAAATATTTCCCAAAGTTAAAGGTTTTTCTCTTAGGTTCTGGATCAGTGACACAGTTCATGCTCTAAAGTGACACATGTACTTCAATGAGGACAGTTGTTGTCACTAACCTTTCTGAATAACTCTGTGTTCAATGAGCACAGCACCTCAGGTAGACTGTGCTTTCAGAAAATCTGATTTTGAAAACATAGACTTACACAGTAGCCCAATTGGGGGGTTTAAAAGGAACCTTCACTTCATAAAAGCACTTTATATCTCTTTCCCAACACACGTAAGATCTTATCTACAAACGAGACCCAAGGCACACCAGGTATCAAAAACCAGATGTGGTGCCTTGGCTACATTATGGTAGATTTGATCTGAAATACCTCAAGTGCTTTCACAAGTGTTTTTAATAAGTGACTTTAACTTGCCTATTTGGGGTGGAATATTGAAAGCTCTTTGAGCATCTGTTATTAATCCACATGATAACTGGGAGATTTAACCTTAGCTATTCAGCCAGTTTTCTAACCTCACATAGCAACTTGAAACAGGACCACGGCATGAATATGAAGCATCGTGACTTTAACCTGGAGTATTCTCCACTGAGACTACAGGAACACAGGTGCTGATGCTTCTTTAAATATAAAAATGTCTAACTTAAATTTGGTGTTGCACAATCAGTGCAGATTTCCGAAATGACTTTCTAATCGAGACGTCATTCTCTGCCGTTACTCTCTTTAGCTAATTTTAGTTTTATGCTTTTTCCCATTAGAAAATTACCATTGTCTTGCTATTTTTAATTCCATTGCAATTTCTGGAATTGGATGAGGGGGGGGGGATATCTATTTTAAGCTGACTAGAGTCCTAAAATCCAGAGGCTGAGAAATGATTTCTGTAGGAGCCTTTGCTACACTCCTCATAGCAACACCTGATTCTTGTATGATTTCAGTTTGAAAGCACTTTGATGTTCATTGAAGTTGATCAACATGATCCATTTACAGCTTTCTCAGCTAACCAGAGCTCTGACATGGTTAAGGGAGGTCCCACTGGTCGTTTACACGATGACTTTGATTCCTGATCTGCAACTTTGTTCCATGCACACTTGTCACCAGCATGACAGTATGTTTTGTTTTTTTTTAAACTAAAAAGCCATTTCTCAGGTCCCCAAATCAGAGGTAAATGGGACCTTAGAAAATATCTAGTACACTCCCTTTATTTTTATATATTTTTATTGATTTCATAGCAGAAAGGAGAGGGAGAGAGAAAGATAAAAACATCAAGGATGAGAGAGAATCATTGATTGGCTGCCTCCTGCACGCCCCACACTGGGGCTTGAGCCTGCAACCCCACATGTGCCTGAACCAGGAATCAAACTGTGACGTGGTTCACAGGTTGATGCTCAACCACTGAGACATGCTGGCTAGGCGCACTCCCTTTATGTTATACAGAAGGAAGAAGAACCCCAGAACACTCAGACCATTTGTCTCTGAAAAAGCCGCATTGCTTGCGCTAAAGAAAAGAGAAAACTCATCTAAGTGTCCCTTCGTTGATGCTTGAAGCAATTAAGACACAGGTTATGAAAAATAGTTTAGAGGTCTCCTCTTCCTTCACACTCCCTGTGGGGTTGGCAGTACCATGAGGACTCTCCGCACAGGGCAGGGCAGAGAATAGGTTTGAAGAGGGCAAACAAGAAAGTGAGCGAGCCTGATGGAAATATAGATTG